ACATGACGAACCTCCACCTGGGTACACTACCTAAACAAAAAATAGACGCTGAGGTTGGGAGTCAATTCCCTATGCGACTTGGGCCATTTATATACCCTGGGGTATCTGAGACATCTGCAGAGGAATCTCAGACACAGCATGTAATCTGTAGGAGACTCATGGCAGCTTGTAGCCATGCACGATATCCCCGAACGCAAACTGGCACTAGGCACGTACTTCAGCACCTGAAATGTCTCCTGAAGATCGGTGCAAATCAAATGTATGATGTATCCCTATTCCCTCAGTATGCTGGATGCCAAGTGACCTTTATTCTCTCAGGACTGTATTAAGCAGTACTAGGTGAAAGTCATCTACACTTTAAAAATGCTTACAAAATCAGATCCCATTCCAGATTAGGCACACAAAGGAGAGACCTATCTCTATACCTATCTATAACTTCCAGAATGCTGACCTATGAAATACGAAATACTTGTAAGGCTATCAATCAGACACTATTAAAATATTCTGCTTAAAAACACTTTTAGTAAAGATACCTCATCAGTTAAAGTAGGGATATTATTTAAAAAATACTGCCCAAACTAGAATAAATTAATTAGCCAGGATTTGGATGATAGAAACATTAAGAGTTGAACCATTATTCAAAAGTAATACAAGCATGTAGATGATCAAAACTAATTTGAGTCATCAACTTTATTAAAGGCAATGTGGGTCTTTATCAGGCTTGTTGTGCTCAGTGCTGTGGAAACTCAGCAGCAGGTGCCACGCCTGCTCTGGTTATTAGACTCAATAACTAAGCCTAGGCATTATTTGGTCAGGTTTGTAGGTGAAATGTAAGAAAAAAAGGAGGTTTGTGTACAGCAGTCTTACTAACTTAGGGAATTTAGGTAAGTTTTTAAAAGATGCTTTTATCTCTGTGAATTATAGTGGGTATAATGATAATAAGGTGATGTGACTAATAATTCAACCTTTATTGATAAAAGGTTGAAACTACTAGTGCTTTCAATATCTTCTATATATGTTATATAAAACCTATATCAGAAACATTTCCCAAGTGTTTAGTGATCCGAAACAAAGAACAGGTTATGGATAGAATCACACTATGTGTGTTAGTTCTGATACAAATGTGTAAAACTCAAGAGTATAGAGCCAAGAGATACAAAGGCTGTCCTGCAAGCTCGCAGTATTCTCCCAAGCCTTGGATTGTGACTTTAATTCCTGCGAATTGCCCAGTAATTCCACAGCAGAATTAAGCTTTCTCATCTTTTGCAGAAGGGGAGGAACTCCCACTCCCCAGCCAGTGAAGCTGAATTAATCAAGATTTGTTTTACTGAGGAACGAGAAATATTCATAGGGAATTTCCAGGACAACAAAAATAGCATCTGCTATTTTTTAAGCACAGCAACTGTCTGGAGTGGCATTCTTTAGTCTATACAGCCTTTGAGTTCCTTATCAATTGCTCATTTTTCCTAGTTACCTTCCCATATATTGGCAAACCTCACCATCCCTGGAGGTATTTCAAAGACGTGTAGATGTGGTGCTTAGGGACATGGTTTAGTGGTGGACTTGGCAGTGCTAGGTTAACGGCTGGACTCGATGATCTTAGTCTTTTCCAACCTAAACGATTCTATGATTCTATGAAAACTCCAAGGCTGCCATGAATATTCAATGAGGCTCCGAAGTTTGTGTAAATTATTTCTAAATACAAAACACTGCAAACACCAAATATCGTTGTTAAGGCCCCTTTTTGTGTTTCCGTATTTATTGCTAAAACCTCATTTGTAATATTGGGGCTGAATGAGTGTTTCACTGACAGCAGAGCAACAGTTCTTCTTGCCACACTAGGAAGGCACTCAGTGGTATGATCAATAAATCAACATCACTTTTTTCATGCTGCAGATTATTTATTTTAACTCTTGAAGCATAAAACACTACCTCCAGTCCTGGTGAACGGTATCTCATTTAGTTATTTTACATCAGGGACAGGACTTTACAAAACGCTGTACCATCAGGATGATTCACACGTTCTAGCGTAAGCACCATAGTACCAGCCTCAACTTTCTCATTAGCAGAGTAATCATCTCAGCTCTCTTTTCCTGGCACTTCAAAACTCCATTACTGGTTGTCAGACTATTTCTCCAAAGAAATGTTTATCTTGAATTACTCAACGACTTTTAAAGTAATAAAAAGCTCTTAATTACTTTCTAGCCAGTACTGTTATGTAGCAGTAAGAGGCCATCCGCGAAGCCTTCTCTCAAAACCCTGCAGCTCTTACTAAGTGTCTTTAGAAAATATTTAACCCAAATAGTTGTGAACCTAAGTGTTTTCTAAACTTATATATCCAGTGAACACTTAGCATAAGCCACAGAGAAAAAGAAGTTTGCTTGTGGATTTCTTTTTCCCTCGACCTTTTTTTCTTAGCTTTCATTTTAGCCTTTGAAATAGTGGGAAAGTCAAGCTACGTTCCTGTTGGTCTGCCAGAGCTGTCGTATTGGAAATTTCTTACTCTCTAACTGAAAAAGCGTGCAGTATGTTGGTAAAACCAAGTCATTGTTTGTTACTTAACTGGAGTATGAGCTAAGGTGGTATTAAGACAACCTAAGCAACAGGTCACCAGCACCTGGTTAGGAACTTCTGTCCTACCTCTGACCAGATTTCACTCCCAATATACCTAAACCAAGCCTATTATTTGAACTCTTCCAGGAAAAAGGACTAGGTAAGAACTTACACTTTTAAGAGGGGGGGAGGGAGGAGTAGAAAATACTCCTTTTAGGTGGAGAGAGGAAAAAAAAAACCTCATTCTTTCCACATGGTATAGTCCTGGCGTGGCAGACGCCTGCCGCGTACAGGCACAAGCGCACCTGGGAACACCTGACTAGAGGCGCCCAGCTACTCCTACCT